GCGTCTCACTCGATCGGTCTCACTATCGATCTCAGGATCGATCTCACTATCGGTCTCGCTCGATCGATCTCACTCGATCGATCTCACAATCGATCTCACTCGATATATCTCGTTCGATCGATCTCATAATTAATCTCACAATCGATCTCACAATCGATCACGCAATCGATCTCGCATTCGGTCTCAATATCGATCTCACTATCGATATCACAATTGTTCCCACAAGGAACGTCATCATCATCATCCTCAACACCATCAACAGCAACATCATCACCAACATCGTCACCATCATGAGAGCACCGTCAGCATCGTCATCATAAACATCACCATCAACGTCAGCATCGTTATCGGGACAACATCCTCATCATCATCACCATCATCGTCTCATCATCAACATCATCATCATCATCGGGACACAATCGTCATCATCATCAGCAGCATCATCAGAATCATCATCATCATCGGGACACCATCATGATCACCATCGTTTTCATCATCAACATTATCATCAACATCGTCGTCATCCTCGGGACACCATCATCATCATGATCATCGCATCATCATTATCGGCATCATCATCAACAACAACAACATCATCATTGGGACACCATCATCATCATGAGCAACATCATCAACACCGTCATTATCATTATTATCACCATCGGGACACCATCAGCATCACCATCATCACCACCATCATCATCATCAGCGTCATCATCGGGACACCATAATCATCGTCAACATCAGCATCAACAGAATTATCGCCTGGGCACCATTTCCATCAACATCATCATCACCAACAGCATCGGAATCATCATCATCATCGGGACACCATCATTCTCATCATCATCAACAGAATCCATCATGAGCATCATCATCCTCGTCGTCGGGACACTATCATCATCATCGACACCGTCATCAACATCATCATCATCTTCATCGGGACACCCTGATCATCATCTCATCATCATCATCGTCATCATCATATCATCATCATCATCATCCTCGCGGGACACCGCGGGGCACCGGCGGGGCACCGGCGGGGCACCGCGGGGCGCCGCGGGACACCGCGGGACACCGCGGGACACCGGCGGGACACCGCGGGCCACCGGCCGCCCGGAAGGGAATCTTTTGGTCCGGCCGCGCTTCAGCCACGCGGGACTTTCGCGGGGCACCGGCGGGGCGCCGCGGGCCACCGGCCGCCCGGGAGGGAGACATTCGGTCCGGCCGCGCCTCAGCCACAGAAGACTCACGAGCGAGCGGCAGCGGCCTGCCTCTGCGCCCCTCGGCCCCGCGCCCACGGCCTGGGCGGCGGCGCCGCGCCCGACCTGGCCGGGGCATTCTGCGCCCGGAGGGCCCCTCTGGGCCGCCCCGCGCGCGCAAAGTAGAAATGCTGCGAGGCAGTCGCCTGAGATCCACGCGCGCCTGTGGCCCGCGGGGCCGCGGGGCGCTTGACGACTCCCCCTCTCCTCCTCTCCTGCTGCTGTTTCCGATTATTTCCTTTTGCCGCTGCTGCTGCTGGCTTTCCACAGGCGCGGCGCGGGGGTCGGGGGGGGGGCCAGGGCCCCCCCCGGGGACCCCCGCCAAGTTGAAAAGGACGCCCTCGCGGCGGGCTGCGCCGCCGCGCGGCGGGTTCGCGATTGCGCCGCCGCGCCCGCGGCCGGCCGTCGAGGCGTCGAAGCCGACGTTTGCCGTCAGGCCCCTCTTCTCCGCCGCCAGCGCAGCCGCGCGCCGCGGCCCCCGCGGGCGAGAGCGCCGGGGCCTCGCCGCGGTCGCGCCAGAGTCTGCGCCGGCGGCCCCCGCGCCCGCGGTGGACCCCACGAGCGCTACTCCCCAGAGGCAGTGTTTGCTTGCGCGGGCATGGCCCAACCGCTTCCGGCGCCCCGCCAATTCCCCGCGCGGCGCTCGCGCTCGAGCGTTTCTTCATCACGCAGGGTCTCCAAAGTGGCCCTTTCCTGTGGTCCGTCCGCCCCGCGCCGGCGCATTCCATCATTCATCAGCTTGGGAGGCGTTTCTCCCGCGCTAGCTATCGGCCGCGCGGCCGGGGCAGCACCTGGCCTTCCGACGGCTGCGCGCGCGCAGATTCCGCTTGCGCTTCGACTGCTGCTCACGCCCAAATTCGCGCGGACGCCATGCCCGACGATTGCGGAATGAAGCATCATCGCGGCGATTAGTTCCATGGCGGTCACGCGGCGGCGTGGCTCGGGGGCCGCGTTGGTCGCGCCTCCGCGGCTTGCCCGGCGCGATTCAATGGCGGGGGCAGGCGGCGCGCGGCGATTCGATGGCGCGCGGACGTTCCACGGTGATTCCCCGCGGTCCAGCTTGAGGAAAGCAACGCGTTGGAAATTTCCCCCCCTTTTGAAATCGCCGCGGCTCCTTGGGGGGGCTCTGCTTGGAAAGAGTCGGGCCGGGGCTTGCTCCAGCAGGAGCTGCGCTCGCGCCCCCCATTGCCCGCGCACCTCGGCCCCGGTCGCTCCGCGCCGCCGCCGACGCCGTGATTTTCGAGGTCAACGGCGCGATGGGGCCGCCGCCCGTTCGGCCGCTGTTCTTTCAGCCCCCGGCCATTAGCCCGAGTCGCTGGGGCGCTCCAGGCCGCGCGCCAGTCCTTTACGGGGGCAGCGGGGGGGCGCGGATCACCGCGCTGGACCGGCTCCCCGCGCGGGGCCCAGGGGCGGCAGTTACGCGCTCGCGGTGGGGGCCTTCGCGGGGCGACCACCCAGCGGCCGCGCCCTCTGCGTCGACGGCGGCATCGGCCGCGACGCGCGCAAGGGCATCGGGAAGCCGCCAGCGCTCCGCCACTTCGCCGAGGCGGTCGTTCGAGGCGAGGTTGGTCAGAGCGACGAGGTCGCGCAGCTGCTCGCGCTCCGCGCCGCGTCGCCCACAGGCGCGGCCATGGCGGACAGGGCAGCGGCCAAGCCCGCGAAGCACGGCGAGTTCGAGCGCGCGCCAGTAGAGCACCGCGGCGGGGCTGGCGGGCGGGCTGAGGCTTTCTTCCAGGGCGCCCAGAAGGCGGGCAAGCTCTGGGCCGCGCTGCTCGGCAGCACATCGCCGTCGGCCACGCCGTGGCCGGGGTGGGGGTCCTCAGCGAGCCTTTTCTACCTGGGCGCGGAGGCGGGACGTGGGGTTCGGAGGCGGGCGCGGCGCCGCCCCGCCCCCCTTCGGACAGGCACGTCGGCGGCCCATTGCCGCCAGCCAGAATTCAGGTTTTTCTTTTTTC